ATGACATCGTGTGACCGTCTGAAATTCAGGCGAGGGGTTAAGTATACTACTATAGAACGTAACAAATCATCAACTTTATAAGTTATATTTTCCCCCATAGTTCTCTCTTTTAAATAAATTCCGATACACCTAGCTAAATCTACCCTAAATAATATAAATAACACAAATAATCTCTCGCAATAGTTTTAGTTAGACGTCGAATTTCCGTCTAATGTTGTTCGTTGAATTCAATTAGCCTTTCTCACGAAGGCCAAAATCTACCATTTTATGGGGTACTGTCTGTCCTCGTGAAAGATTCTAAGACAATTCAAACAACGTGAACAGCGACTTTTAAATGATTTTTTCTGTGTTGTTGTTATGTACTCAGGTGAATATGATGTTTGTGATGTTACTCTGAGTGTATATCCACACCGGGCAAGCTTGAAAAATATGCCTGGTCACGGTGGGAATCGAACCTACGACCTTTGGAATACTAGCCCAATGCTCTGCCAACTTAGCTACGCGGTCAGGTCGGTTCGAGTATGTGATATTTCGGAACTGAGTCTAGTTCCTTCGTTATCAATACAATCTAGTCATCATGATTTTTTCTGTGTTGTTGTGTACTCAGGTGAATATGATGTTTGTAGTGTTACTCTGCGTGTATATCCACACCGGGCAAGCTTGAAAAATATGCCGGCTGGCCACGGTGGGAGTCGGACCTACGACCTTTGCAATACTAGCCCAATGCTCTGCCAACTTACAGTAGCTACGCGGTCAGGTCGGTTCGAGTATGTGATATTTCGGAACTGAGTCTAGTTCCTTCGATATCAATGCAATCTAGTAACTGTAAATTTACCATTATACAAACAACTACAATACTAAAATGTTGCATTTCGTGAATTCGTGGCACGGAGACTCTCAAACGCAGGAGAGGCAGTACCCCAAAAATGGCGGGAAAATCGACCGTGAGAAATGCTAATTGCTTAATTTAGAAGTCAATTTACTCGGGCCTTAAAATATCTTTCAGAGAACCGTCTGACAAAATAATATGCCTGGCCACGGCGGGAATCGAACCTCCGACCTTTGGAATACTAGCCCAATGCTCTGCCAACTGAGCTACGCGGTCAAGTCGGTTCGAGTATGTGATATTTCGGAACAGAATTTACCCGGGCCTTAATCTCGTACCCAGAGCAATGCCTGTGCGCGGGCTAGGATGGCATTGCTTACGAGATTGTACCCCACGGTGAAAACCCCGCACTTGATTATAGACTAGTTTCTTGAGAATAATCTGAAGGCTCTAAACCTGCATTACTCTCTCCCTGTCCAATCAAAACATCGTCGCTTAAAACATCGTAGTCTTTCGGTGCGATTTGGTCCCCACAGACGTTGTCATAGTCGAGAGGCTCATTCAGTTTGGGTAATTGACCCTCTTTTTGCTTGCGTTTTTTCCTTATTTCCCTACAAATACACCACACAACAATGCCACAAATTACAATTACGAGTGCGCCTACAATAATGTAGACCCAAAGGGGGACATCATCGCTCGATTTGCCATCCTGATTGCGCTGTGGATGTTTTCCCAATAATGCCGGTAAAACTGTATTCCCGTAACTACTGCAACCTTCTTCGTTACAAACCGCTGTCTGCACCATATAACTACAGTTTCGTGCTAACTTTGGAAGGACAGTAAAACCTTAGGTAAGGTTTCGTTCGATAATCCTCAAAAAGCTAGACCCGTTTTCTGCACGACGATATTTCACCACGACGTGCGTCAAAACTCCGTTCCACGTCTCGCGCGGAGGTAGCGACCAGGGGATCGTCACGTTCCGGAAACGTCCGTCGGTGATCGTCGCGCACTCCTTCGCGATACAAGTTATCGTCGGCGGTTTGCTCGGCGCTTCCTCGTGAAGTCTCGCCTCCCGACAGAATGGCAAGGATGGAATTTCAGAGTCCACGATATAGACCTGTATGCAAAAGGCGCACAGTGCGTACGGTCTATAGGCGGTGAAATTACTACCATACAATGTCAATTCTGTTTTTCCAATTATTGTTTGTTCCTTTGCAACTCCTAATTCCGAGCAATTGTAATGGAGACGATACCATCTGTTAAAATTCGGCATGTTTGTCCACGTCAGCTCCACTTGTTGCCTGACAACACGAATTCTAAAATCACTAACCGGATGCGGAATCAAAAATAGTTCATATTTATTAGGTCCGGGATCCTTTCCAGAAGGCCACAACTCAAATTTTTTTGTCGGTCCGCGAATTTCACATTGGTCTCTAGTTGTCACTAAATACATTTTGTATTCTCTGTATAGTTGAACTATTTCGGCTTTAATAGACGCTTTGCAAATATGCCCGGTTGTATTTGGGACGCGATACACATCGTTTGACCGATAATGACATTCAATATCATTAATTGTATATGATTTTTTACCCCAAACATCATCATCGATACTATATCTAATACTATACGTATAATTAAACTCCTCGCTTTGTCTCCAATATATTTCAAGGCTTTCAACGAGTTGATGATCGCTCGTTTCTATAAAACGTACGCCGATTATCGATGTTTGCTCGGGCCTTGTGGCTACGGTTAGCGAAGCGTTTAGTACGGGCCCACTTAAATTTCTGTCTTCGAATGCAGTAAAACACGTAAAAACTTTGTGTTTCGTCCAATTAACGTAAACTTCTAAAGTGGAGACAATTATAGTGTCATTTTGCATTATTTTCGACGAGTTTTGGCCGATAATTTCTCCATTGCTATGCCATTTAATATTCCAGCGTGTTAATGTATTAGAGTCGTTCACAGTTCTTCGCCTCGAGCTCAAAGACAAAGTACAAGTTATATTTACGCTATGTTTCCGATCTACACAAAGTAAATTAGTTTCTCCAACACTCAACGAAAGTCCTGAAATCTGTGTGCTCCTATCTGCTTTTACAATGAAGGCACACTTTATACAAAATAATATAAACAATACTCTTACAGGACAACGAAACAATGCCCTTGTGATGTTTTGAGCTTTGCTAATCATGTTTTACAAATATGACTTTAAAATATGACTATACCGACAGATCACCGTCTTTGACTTTGCTTAACACATTTATACCTTATCCACCAGTCCACGGTCGATCACAAATCGTTTTGTCAACTAAAAAGATGCTTCAAATGTGCCCCAAACGACCGACTCTAAGGACGCTTTGCTAATACTAAAGTGAAACAATGGCATGTTTACATTTTAAATTTCATTCAATGAGAATTTCCCTAAAACTTCATCGATACGTCATATTACGTAATTAGAAATTCTGATTTTGTTGTATATATTGTACACGTGCACATATTTTCAACAAGATGTTTTTTGAGAGGGATACAATTAATTACTTGAAAAGTACAAGGAGAACTTCGACGTTCCTGATATCTTCCTATAAACGAACGGCCTTCGCTTGAAACGTCGACGTTTTCCTCGTATTTTTCATGTAATTGTATCTCTGCGAACAGCTGTAGCGCATGATGCATTTCTTTTAACTTAAAAGCACTTGAATTGGTGTTGAATTCCAGACCTAAAACAGGCACTATGCGCAATTTAATTATTGATTTCAACTTGCTTTTTCGAAAAAATCAAACGGGAAATAACTTGCAATGACAATTTATATTAATATTATATTGTAATTTTGGATATGATCATTGCTGATAGCCTGATGAATTTAAAAGCGTCCATAGCAACGCCAACAATGTAAACAATACCACATCTATGAAAATTTATGAAAATTGCTAAACAAAAGAGGTTCCGTTAGAGGAGTTTCGAATAATTCAGACAAAATAATTCAGACAACGATATTCCAAAAAATAACTACCGTAAACGTCCGAATATTAAAGCCCTGGATGGGCTTGTACATCGGAGGGCTTATATACGGGTAATATACGGACGACATGTTGGTAATAATATTTATAATATTAGCATTTGTAAATTCTGAACGCTGATTGGCTAAGAGCCGTGTTGATATAACTCAATGTCAGCACGGGAAATTTTCCGCCGCTTGCAAACACGGAAATTTTTCTTATCCTTCGGGCTTTTGACATTGTTATATTATAAAAAAAATATAAAACATTTTTTCCGTATTGATATATAGTTATATCAACACTCGTGGAAGTTGG